TAATAATAATAATAATAATAATAATAATAATAATAATAATAATAATAATAATAATAATAATAATAATAATTATAATAATTATAATAATTATAATAATAATAATAATAATAATAATAATAATAATAATAATAATAATAATAATACTAGTAATGGTATTGATTATATTGATGATGGTATTAACTCGTTAATTTCAGGCATTTACACAAACGACGGATTTGATTTCATTAATTACAACATCAATACTAATAATAATGTTAATAATGTTAATAATAATAATAACATCAACGACGACAACAATATAATAGATAATAATAATCTCATCAATGACACTAAATCAGATTTGCAAAATCTATATCTATATCTAAATAACTATGTCAATAATGATAATCCTAATAATTATAACTGTATTAATTACAACAACTCTCAAACGAACATTGACAATGGTTCAGAATTCACATTAGAATCATTGATAGATAATAATCCAGATTTTTATAATAAGCAAAGTGATGGATTCACTATTAATCATCAATATCAATATCAAATTAACAATGGAAATAATAACGATGATGCTTCAGTAATGTTTTCACCAACAAGTATAATAAAATTTTTTGATGATAATGCATATTTAAATTTTTATTTTAATCAGCAGGATTTTGGTGTCTTCAATGACCAGTCTACAATATTCAACAATAATAATACTATTGATGGTAATGATAGCAATGCTAATGTTAGTGTTAATAATAATACTGATAATAATAATAATTATAGAGTATTAAGTAATGGACAAAGTCCAGTTATTATCAATAATAAAGATTTCAACGAAGAAAATTATTAATATAGTTAAGCTAGAATGGAGTTAGAATTCCTTTATTATAATTACTATTAATTATATCAAATAGCTGTTAATATTTTTGTAATATTCGTTATCACCATTATCATCATTATTATGATTTATTTGCTATTTATGCTTTTTAATAATAAGTTAATAAAGAGTATGCACTAGAAATGGTTGTTCCAACTAAAGCGAGTGAACCAAAATAGCCAAATCCTCCTCTGTGTCTTTTATCAGGTTCTCCAGTGGAATATCCGACAGCATAAGCAATACGGCCTTTTAATTTTTTTGAAAAAAAAAAAATAATTAAAATAATAGATAATATTATAATATATATATTATTATCATTCATACCAATTATCCAAACACCTCCTGCAACAGCAGATATAATTGGATGTTTTAATCCACCAATAGTAAGCCTAAATAACAATAATATATATATAAATAATAATAAATCGTTTTTTAAACAATATATATTAACATATATTTACGTAAAAAGGAATTGAGGATATTGTTCCAAAGTATTCTGAACAACAAAAAAAATTTCTATTATTAACAAAGAATTTGATTTATTATTATTGATTGATTAATTAAAATTTTTTTTTTATTTACTTGATGTGCTCGTTGAATACAATTGAAAATAAATTTTTTTTTATCCTTCTCAACTTCTTCTTTTGAAGCATACACTAAAAAAAAATCACAATTAGTTGATTGTTAAATTGGATTTTTATCAAATACGTGGGTTGTACAAAAAGTTTTGAGAAAAAAGTTTGAGAAAATACAAAAAGTTGAGAAAATACATGTAACTTGGAGATCTTTTCTTTAATAAAAGCAAAAATGGGAATAAAAAACTCTTAAGCCACAATCTTTTAAATAAAAAAAAATCATTCAAATTGAGTCATTTGTTGTTAAGTTATAAATTTTTAAAGTTTGCCAGAGAAACAAATGGAAAATTCAAAACATGAATACCAAAGATACTACATTTTTGTTAGCTGGAAAAATAGCAAGCCAGCTAAACAAATTCAACAGGAATTACAGGTTGCTGAGAGGTCTAATGCAGTATCTTTAGCATCTATTTATCATTGGATTGAAGCATTTGAAAGTGAAAAAAATAATGTTGAAGATGATTCACGTTCTGGACATCCTCAAGAAACTTCCACCCTTGAAAACATTGCAAAAGTTGATGATTTAATTAGTGATGACCCTCATATGACAATTACAGCTATCGAAGAGAATGTAGGTATTTTTAGAGGAAGCATTCAAAGTATTTTACATAATGAATTAAAAGTTCATAAAATTTGTAAAAAATGGGTCCTGCATATTTTAACTGTTGAAAATAAAAAAAATCAGATTGAAATTTCTAAGCAATTGTTAGAAATCTTTGATAATGGACTTAATAATGTGATGAAACTTGGTTTCATTTTTATACTGTACCAAGTAAAGAATCAAATAAAACATGGGTTAAAAGTGGGGAAAATCAGCTGCAAATTGCCAGAACTGCACAAAATGCTAAAAAAAGGATGTTTTGTGTTTTTTTCTCAATAGAAGGTGTTGTGACAAGAATTGTTGTACCAAAATGTCAGACTGTAAATGGCACATTTTATAGAACAAATGTATGCATATTGTATTTTCAAAATATAAAGAATTAAAAAATAGAAAAACAGTAAGAAATGTGATGCATCATGACAATGCCGCTCCATACAAATCAAAAATTGTAACAGAGTATTTAGAAGAGGAGAAAATTATTTTGCTTCCCACCCTCCATATAGCCCAGATTTAGCTCCTTGTGACTTTTTTCTATTTCCTAGAATTAAAAAAGAGCTAAAAAATCAGCATTTTGATCATATTGAAAATCTTGCACATGCAATTCAGGCAATCACAGATGGCATCACAAAAGAGGACTATCAGAAATAATTTGAAAATTGGAAAAATAGGCTACAAAAATGCATAGATAATGATGGGAACTATTTTGAAGGTATGCATTAATTTATTTTAGCTTTTCTCAACCTTTTAGATAACCAATATACAAGGCTTGTTTTTGTTGATAATTTTTAAAATTCAATATCTCAATAACTAACTGGTAAAAGAAAGTAACCTTTTTTTTATTTGAAAGATGAGAAGAATGTTACTTATATAAAAGAATTTCAAATTTATTACACTTAAAATCATCAAGTTATGTACCTTACAACAAAAAATTTCCAGTTGTTTTTGTTGCTAATCTTTAAAATTTAATATCTCAATAATTAGCAACCAAAAAAATATTTGCCTTTTTTTATTTGAAAGATGGGAACTCTGTCCAAATCAATTGCCTTCAAATTTATAAAGTTACATGCATTTTCTCAAAACTTTTTGTACAACCCACATATTAGTATATAAATAATGAAAGTGGATGAGATTGACAAACTACAACAGTGGGTTCAATTTAAGTCTCCTAAAAATTTCAGGCCTTTTTTTCTCTCTTATCCTTATTTATATACAAAAATATGTTCCTTATATTCTGGCAGCATTAACATCACGATTCTAGAGGGCCTGGTACATGTGTCTACATGTATAGAGCACCCAAAACTATTAAAGTTTACTAAATAACCCTTCACATTTGGAACATATTCTGCTAGTTCTAAATTCATTAACTATTTTTACTCTACATCTTTTCTTTGACACCAACATCAGTTGCTTTACTGAACCAGAAGCATAACCTTTAGAACTTGATTAAAATGAGCATGGCTATGATTATAAAATGAAAAAAAAAAATTAGTATCATAAAAATAAAATATTTACCCAAATGTCACCAAATTTTTTTTGGCCTTTGTGGGTGGATAGAAGCACATACGTCATCAGTTTGTAGATAGTATGTAAATGTTCTATTTTCTAGTAGAAACTTTTCTTATATTAAAGCTCCTATTCCACCAATAATCAAAATTTTCTTTGATAACTTCTTTAGTTAATGGATTATTATGTTTAGTAGAAGCCTATAATGCTTTGGTGTCAATGTTTATTGGAAAGAATTGTGAAAGTGCAAAAGGTTTTTGGTATGAGGGTTTTTTGAAATATGTTTTAATAAAGAGTGCAGGGGATTCCCACCAATTTTTTTACTTCTTCTAATGACAAGGCTCCTAAGAGATTTCTTGTTTTTCACAATATATAAATAAATCCAGTAGAAGCAATATCAAAAAGTGAAGGATCTCTGATCTTAAAAAAGAATGATGGGAGTGAAAGTCTTGAACCACTGTAAAGGATTCGATAGAAGTGGCTCACTAATGTTGTAAGATTTTTTTTTGAAAGCCAATTTAAATTGCATGAAATATAGTCGGAAAATTGATCAAGAATCCAAACCAATTTCATATTTTTATTCAATCACCAATAAAAATAATTGACTCATGAAAAATATCTCAAACAATGGAGAAATAAATATTAACAGACCTTTAATTCTTAGATTTAATTTAAAAAACAAAGGGATTTAAATGATTGGATCACTTTAGAAATAACTTGAAAATAATTCTACACAGAAAGTTCAATACATTTAATTAGAATAAATTAGGATTTCTAGAAATTGGAGAACTAGATGATAGAACCTTTAACATGTATAAATAATGTTGTAATTCTCTCAAATTTATGTATCATTATTAATTATCAATTAATTAATCATTTAATAAATAACACTGTCCTTGTCTTTATTGTAGTCTTTGAATATTATATTTTTGTAATGATAATAAATCTATCTCCAATAATGAATTCATACTAATCTCATGCATAATTTTTTCTCTTATTTTATATTTGTCTCTATTATCTTTATTTTTTTTTTATTTCCTTTTCTTTTCTTTTAGTGAGATAATATTTAATAAATTTTATTTAGTAGTTTTAGGAACGTACATGATTTGATAGCAAAGAGGAAAACAACTAAGAAGAAATGTGATCAGGATATATAGTGTAAAATCTAAAGAAGGTATTTCTCAGTATTAAGGTTGTGGGCGAAACCTCTTAATGACTGTCAAAACTCTGTCAAAACTCTAATGAACAATTAATGTGTAACCTGTCGAAACTCTGATGATTGGCGAAAACCCCAAATGCGAAACTCTGCCGAAACTCTAATAAACAATTAATGTGTAACCTGTCGAAACTCTGTCGATTGATTTCTGGAGGAGTTTCTCCCACAACCTTATGTGTGATACTGCGCAATGTGTGGCACAGTATTTCACAAAATATAACGTTAAAAATAAAAATGATTTGATTTTCATGTGACTTCCGCAGTAATTTGGTTTGGTTGGAACGGCAACGCGGGACCTCTCTATCGGTCCTCATTTTATTACCTCACAACCTTCCCCTCCTTAAGATTCAATCGTCTCTTGATGAATCATTTTGCTTCCCCTTTCTCTTCAGGTCTCTTCTTATTCTGGCCTGGTTTCCTCCTCTCTTTGGTTTTGGTTTGTCTCCCAGAGTTCCAGCCTCCTTCTCCTTCTGGTATAGTTCCTCAATCCATTCTTTGACACATTCTCCACATGAGACATTTCTTACCACTTGATGAACTTGGGGCCTATCTAATGGTTTTTCACAACGTTCACATTCATAAGGAAGTGAAGTTTCTTTGAGCCGTTGCATATTCCTGTCAAGATAAACCAAAAATCTTTCTTGGTAGTCTTTGTTTCGACGATGTAGATATTCATCTATTTCATCTGGTTGATTGTTCTCTTTGTTATCCTCATCCCACTGTTCCTTATAACATGGATTTTCATTCTGTCCCTTGATATAAGTCCAAAGGATTCTTTTCCCGATGGTTATTAATTCACTGTTAAGATAGGGACAAAGACAACTATGACAAAGGTTGATTTGATCGTTTTGATGTCTATGATGTTTTCTTAAATTCAAAAGCTTTGGTAATTTTTCCACAATTGCTTCTCTGTGATCATGGAAGGCTTGGTTCATTCGGTCAATGTATTCTTGTTCGATAGAATATTCTTGGTAATCATGGAAGAAATCTGCTGTTCTTTCTATTAACTGGTCATATTCTTCCTGCAACCTTTCCTGAGTGTCAACCCATGTTTCATTGGTATGATATTGTTGATGATATTCGATTTCTGCTGGCTGACCATGAAGTTTGATGTAATAGGCTTCTGCAGCCTTTAGAACATCTCCTTCATCTTCTGAGCAATTCTTTGTTTCAATATAGTTCTTGACCTTTTGTGGCACATGTTGAAAATTATTTGCCATTACTACTGATAAGTATGCATATTTGCAGATGTAAGAGCAAATATCATTTTGCCAACTGATGTTGACTTTTGTAGTCATAGGTAAGTCACAAACTTTGCATGGTGAATTATACCATGATTCCTGAGTGATATCATAAGATTCATTTTTGGTGCAAGAGTTGCACAGTTGGTGATATCCCCATTTCCAACCATCATTTGTATCCATTTTGGTTGTAGGTCTTTTACACTTGCAACAGTGATAATTCATTCGCCTTGTTGCAGTTGTCCAATTGAAATGTTCCTTGGCTTTTTGTTGTAGTGTTTTCTTGTCGCATTTGCATGGCAATAACTGATTTTTATATTTCAAAAATGTTATTGGTTGAAATTCCTCAATCACTGAGTAATCCTGATCAATGTGAACACGATTGACAATTAAAGTTGTTTGTCTGACAATACTACTGGAACTTCCTTCTTCAGGATTTCCCGATGCAGCTCTTGTA